CAGTTTAGACTAATACGTTGACTTGTATGCCCTAATTTGAGATGTATGGTTTTAAGAAGCTGTTTGCAGGTTTTTTCTTTAAGGGGGTTCTGCTAATTCTCTTTCTTAATTTGGGATTTGACTTTGAAAGACCTCAAATCTGACTTTCCCCACGGTTAAAACTAGTCTGCATGATGTTTTTGTATGTAAATGATTCTACCAAGATTTGTACTTTCCCTGAGAGAATTAGAGAAAACACTTGCAAGAAACCATTAGAGAAAATCTCTTTATATCCCAGAACATGTGGCATATGATATTCTGCTTTACCTGGTTTGGTTTTTGTATCCTAATCAGTTCCTCATGTACTTGTCTTAGTTGTCTAGAGGTTATTTGGATAATGTGTCTTCTTTAGCTTATGCTGTCAAAGTTTCTAGTCTCTTACAAAGTTAGAGCCCTTTTTTGTGTGGGATTTATCAGACTTCAGTAAAGATTTTTTGTCAAGATGTGTCTTCTCATAGTTACAAGAGTTGTTAATTCAACTGTTTTGGTGATGTATGTAACTAGTTTTCTCGATATTTTACTGATCTTTGAATTCTTTTTTTCTTTTTTTTCTCTTCTTCAGGTGTTCTTCCTTGGAGGAAGGCTCGTGTTTGGACCCGATGCTCGGTCTATTCTGATCACCATCTTCTTGATTACAGCTCCTGTCACTATTTTTTGTGTTTTTGTTGCCAGAAAATTTATCGATGATTTTCCTCACCATAGAGGAGTGTCAGTAATAGCCATCGCTGTTGGTCTGAATTTATTAGTGAGTTCCTCTTTTCTCATGAATGTTTGTTCCCTGTTTCCTAGTCTGATTCAGCTTATGCTTACATATTTCTCTTCAGTATCCTTTTACTCTTCGCATCTTGATAATAAATTATTATCATTGTCTGTCAACAGGATCTGATATTTCTTCTTCTAACCTCGGGGAGAGACCCAGGAATAATTCCACGTAATCTATATCCTCCAGAACCAGAGGGTAGTGAAAGCAATGGTGAACCACGTCTTGCTCATACTCCACAGAGTCGGTTGCCTCGGACAAAGGATATGACTGTAAATGGAATCACTGTGAAGATCAAATACTGTGATACTTGCATGCTTTATAGACCACCCCGTGCTTCTCATTGCTCGATATGCAACAACTGCGTGGAGAAATTTGATCATCACTGTCCTTGGCTTGGTCAGTGCATTGGATTGGTAATGGATATTCTTTTGCCTCAACAAAAATCTTTATTGGGCACTCTTTTTTCATATCTCTGATTGAATTTTGTGAATAAATGAGGCTCTCAAAACACGTATCAGGTTTCTAAAAATTTGGATATTAGAATCAGAACTATCTTTGCAGACAATAACCGGCTGGTTAAATGAGATGTTTTTTACCTAACATATAATCAATCTGCCGAAGAGGATTACTGCATATACCTACAGGATTCAAGAGAAACTAATGGTAATCTGGGGTTTGTTATGCAGAGAAACTACAGGTTCTACTTCATGTTTGTGTTGTGCTCGGCTCTTCTCTGCATTTATGTCCATGTGTTTTGCTGGATTTACGTCAAGCGCATAATGCATGGTGAGAAGATAAACATCTGGAGATCGTTGATCAAGACTCCTGCTTCCATAGCACTAATAATCTACACTTTCATCTCGGTCTGGTTCGTTGGTGGGCTTACCGGTTTCCACTTATACCTAATCAGTACCAATCAGGTAAAATCATTACTCTCTGAAAGCTCTTGTTTCACCATGCTCTGAGACCGTTGGATGATTTAGCTGATTGTATAACATTGGTTCTGTTGTTTTGATATGTTGTGTTTTGGGCAGTCAACTTACGAAAACTTTAGGTATCGGTATGATAGACATGAGAACCCGTTCAACAAAGGGATAATTGGGAATTTCATGGAAGTATTCTGCACAAGCGTTGCCTTATCTCAGAACAGTTTCAGAGCAAAGGTTTCAAAGGAGCCAGCAATCCCACCAAGGACAGTAAATGGAGGGATGTCAAGCCCGAGCTTACATAAAGTTTCCCAAGACATAGAGATGGGGAGAAAACCGGTGTGGCACGAGACAGTAGAAGAAGAGCTCGGTGACATGGACAAGGACATGGAAGCGTCAGTTACATCACGGGATTTGAGCAGAATGCTTCCACCCGAAGAATCTGAAGGACGCGGAATAATGCATTCGAGAGAGTCAAGCAGGGGAAGGAGAGGAGGGAGCTGGGAATTTCCGAGCCGCGTTAACGAAGATTTAAGAACCAGAGATGAGTCTGTATCGAAAAGAGTCGGTGAAGATAGCTCAGAGTCTTCAGAAGACAATGATGCTTCCAGAGAATTACGACTTGAGATATCTGATGCAGTAAGAGGTAGAGGCAGAACCGGAACTGGTATAGGACGGTCATAGTCACCGGATTAAGCGTGTAACACTATTAAAATGATTTAAGGAAAAGAAGGAAGAAGAAAACACAAGAAGATTGTGACTTGGGTTTGTTTGTTTGTTTATTTACCTCATTGTAACTCGTTTGTGTAAAGTGTTAAAAGGATAAAAGTTTTTTAATTGCTGGTAAAAAGAAAAACTTCAAAATATTTCATTTCAATAGTGCAACTTCAAAAGAGTCATGAAGTTACAAAAGCTTAAGATACTAAGATAAACGCATATAAACGAGTACGAGAGATAGAGCTTCTTGAGGCTCCTTGAGTACGACACTGAACATAGAAGGCATCTGCAAAAGAAACGATGCATTTTTAATTCTACAGAAGCCGACTTACACATTCACAGACCAAAATACCAACAATGTACAGAAGCATACCAAACAAGAAATGAGACTGGACATAACATAGAGGTCCTTGAGGTTACTTCACCATCTGCAAAAGAAAGACACGTTTTTAATTCACAGACCAAAATAACAACAATTTACAGAAGCATACCAAACGAGAAATGAGACTGAACATTAACGTACCTTGAGAGAAAAGGCATCTGAGATGAGTTTCTCATCTTCTTCAAAGACCTGAAGGTTCTTGGACTTCATTAGAAACTCTAAAGCATCTTCATCAAACTCCACCAAGCAAGCCATTTTCACAAGCTCAGACAGCCGTCCGATCAGATCTTCTCTCTCCCACAACACTCCTTTCGCAATCACATCGCCGAAACACGTGGCGTATTCCAAAACCTTTCTTTTCCCACACGCTTTCTCCATCTTCTCTGCATACACAACTCCTCCCTCTCTCTCCCACCTTATCATCTGCTTAGCCTTTGCGATCAGCTTCTCTCCTTTTGAGAGTAGCTTCAGAGTATATTCCGTCGAGATTGCCTCCGAAGTTTCCTGAACCTTAAGGCTAACAAGTCCATGAATGATTCTAGAACGTTCCTCAGCTTCAATCTTGAGAGATGGATCAGAGAGAAACCCGAGAATGAGCCTCACTAACCCCAGACTGATCAGATTATTCTCTTGCTGCTCAATCTTGAATCCGTCAGTTAACTCAGCTTCTGCCATCTCCACGCATTTGGAGATCTCTTTGACGCCGATTTTTCTGTAAATCTCCATAAGCTTCGTTTGTGGCAATGTCTTGATGCTTGGAGTTGGGTACCAGACGAAAACAGGGGAACCTTTGAACAGATCTTTCAAGAGCAAGTCATCTGCTATGAACACGTCGCTCATGTTTGATAGCATTATTCCTCCATTGTTGCTACTATCTGGTGCGTTAACAGGCAAACGCGAAACTGATTTAGAGAGGAACTCAAGAACAGTGTTGTTACCGTGTCGCACGACGAACCTCCAGAACGCACAACACTCGTCGTTTGACAATCTGTCTTTAGTTGTTTCCCAATCTTTCCACAAAGCACAGTAATCATCAATCGAAGGGTTAGTTCTCACGCCAAATGCAGATGAGAAGAAGCCAAGAAGATCGCAATCCTTTTCACTGTCGTAATGGTTTTCAAGAACGTTAAGCTTTGATCCAAAGAGCTTGTCTTTGTCATAGAGCACGCAGCTAGAAACATCAGCCCATTTTTCACCATCCGGGATCCAGATTCGGTCTAAAGACGCACCCTTCTCTGGTTTCCATTCAGATTTACAGAGAAATCTATATATCCGAGATATCGCATCAGATTCAGCAAAACAAATGTGGCTAGCAAGCAACTGACAAGCTTTGGCTTGATCATGGCTAACTCCAATCGCAACTAGCTCTTCCTTGAACGATTTAAGCTCTGAGCCATAATACTCTTCATCGATGAAAGGACCATCACACGGCTCTAAATCCCAGCTGTTATCAAACAAGAGACACTCATTCGGACTGCGGTAACCAGCATGCGTCTTCAACCATTTGACAGAAGCCTTTGTAACAAGCTCATCAGGGAGTTTCCCAAATCTGTCCTTAAGCAAGAACTTGATGCACTGAAGAAGAGACAGTGCGCTTGAAGGAGTGATGCGAGACGGATCAGGGAGACTTAAGGAGCTAACCAAATGGCTCATGCCTTTTCTCAGCTCAACTGTAACTCCCAAGAGCTCTAGCTCTTTCTTGTAATCGTGTATACTTTTACCGTACCAGTTTGTGCTGTCATCGATGAAGGGGAGATTCGCAATGAGGCGGAGAGGTTCCCATCCTTCTTCTAAGAGAATGCAGTCTTTTGGTGCGCGAAAATCACCAAGTTTGGTATGCAGCCATTTTGACTTTTTGAAGGCTTTCAATAGATCTTCAGAATACTTAAGATGACCTCCCAACAGTTGCCTGTAGCAAGACAGAAGAGACAAGGCAGTACTTCGGGTTAGACCAGAGGTAGAAGCTTTGTGCTTAAATGTGCGCACAAACCCTTTCACAGCTTCTTCAAACTGAACCACAACACCAATTAGCTTCAACTCCTCCTTGTAGGAAAAGATTTTGCTTCCATAGAAACCTTCGTCGATCAACGGGAAACAATCAAAAACAGATAGAAGGCAACTCCATTCCGGATCAGGTATGAAACACTCGGCAGGACTTTTGAAGCCACTTTTCGTCTTGAAGCATTGAGAATTTCTCAGGGCATTTATCAACTTTGAAGGACTTAAACGACGCACGCAATCAAGAACCAGGAACAGTGCATCAGGTGTCAGATAATTCAGCTTCGAAGGATTTAGATGAGAAACGATGAGGCTGTAGTCAGGAAACTGAACTACAACGCCTAGCAACTCAAGCTCTTCCTTGAAATTGTTGATGTCAAATTCACCATAGATAACTCTATCAATGAATGGAATATCACTGATCAGCGACGCAGCTTTCCAGTCTTGGCTGAACAGAACAGCTCCATCTGGAGATCTATCACCGGAACTTGTCCTTAGCCAAGGATGATTTTTGACGGCTCCGATGAAACTCTGTGGTGAGAGGAGCTCCTTTCTCAAGTGCCTGATGAATTTCAGAATCGAGAATACATTGGCTCTTGAGAATGACGATGTCTTAGCTAAACTCATAAGATGGTTACCAGCAAATTCACAGGCTTGACTGAACTCAGACATAACACCAGCAGCTTTTAATTCTTCTTTATACTCCTCAATCTTTTTCCCATAGAAGCTTCGATCAACAAGTGGAATATCCACAAGAATCGAACTGTCCTGCAGAATACTTCCCCATGATGAAGTATGGTAGAACGACTGAGAAGGAGACCGATAATCAGAGAATCCATTCAACGTTGTTCTCAACCAGCTGCCTCCTTTAACAGATTCCAGAAACTTGGGAGGAAGAGAATCTCTATTGCACTTAATCCACTCCAAAAGCAAGAGAGCATTCTCCTTTCTTAGAGCCCCAGACAACGCAGGTATAGCAGCATTGGGTGGTTTTATGTAAGGTATATCTCCAGCCATAGCATAACATGTCAAAAACTCGAGAAGCTCTCTGTGATTAGACCGCACACCAGCAAACCTGCCAGGTAACAGATACTCTTCCCAGAGTTCTATATAGCCTTCCTGCCTCCAAGGATCAGACCCAATTAGGCTGACCCATTTACCTGCGCTAGCAGGAACAAGAACCCCATTCCTTCTTGTGTTGACATTTCCATAGTTGTCCACAAGCGGCATGTCTTGACAACATTTAACAGCCTCACCACTCGATAAAACATCCTTCCTCAGTGAGTGATGCAGAAAGTGTGCATAGGCAACCACGATCCTCTTATCTCCATTAAGATTTTCCTGTAGACGTTTTGCATACTCAGAAACACTAAGAGATGCAACGGTAATCTTCTCTTTTAGCCAATTGAGAATTGTTTCCTTCTTGGAGCAAGATTTCAACGCTGACCGGGTTGTCTGTGGCAAGAAAACGAACTTAGTCATGCATCTGAACTCATCGTTCCATTCAAGCAGCCATGACTGGTTCTGATCAGTGGACAAGCATAATGTCCGTGGACTGAACTCTGCCAAACTACTAACTGAGGTCACTCCCTTTCGAACAACGAACTTGATAAGCGGAACTTTAACCATGTTTGTACCCTGAAACATGGACTTCCAATTCTCAGCTATGAAAAGAAGAACCTCCACATACGTATTTTCTGATACACTTGTCATAAGATCGCAGCCCCGAATGCATTTTGCATACCATTCGTCGCTGACTTTCTGCAAACCCAAGAAATCCAGAACGTCGTCGTTTTCAGGCCTATCGAAAGAAGAATCCAGTATGTACAAACCGTGCGACGAAATGTTCTGCAAGCTCGCGCCTTCTCTTCTCGCTTTCTCCAAGATGTCCCAGAAAGCAGGAATGAGACGCCCCACTTCACAAGGCCTGTGGAAGAACTTCTGACCCAAATGTGAGACGCTTGGCACAACTTCCTCTGCAGAAATCCTGGTCCTCACAGATTCTCGAACAAGGTTCAGCTTGGCATAAGTAGATTGCTTTACAGGCAAGAACCCAAAAGCAGGCAGCAAGCTAGAAACCGGAGCATCGGTCTTCTTCACCAAGGAGGTGAATGCGTTCACAAAAGCCAACGGAACAGAGTTGAGAATCCCTTGGTTCCATATATCATCAAGTAGTATAGTTTCCCTGGACGATGCTAGGATGAAATCTGCTTGAATTATGAACGGGAAGTTTGTCACCATCTCAGTGGGAAGGAATGCATAGATACCGGGAGAGCTATTTCCGCGGCCAAGACGCTCTCCAAATGGAAACGCCAAAGTTATCACCCAATCCTCAACATCGCTTCTCCTTTCCACACGGTTCTCATGTTTCACCGGAAACTTTTGCCTCCACATATAGTAACTGCATTCTTTTTCAGAATTCTTCCCGTTTTCACGAGCAGAGAGATGGATTGTGTAAGACTCGGCATCAATACTCTTCCTCGTCACAAAGTTAGTCTCGCTAACAATCCCGATAGAGTTCACAGTGGTGAGCTTCGGATCTTGGCAGTGTTCTCTGATAGTGAGACGCTTGATTTTCGATAGAAACAGCAGAACTTCAGGATGGACATTACCGAGCTGTTCTTTCACCGGCTTAACTTTGTCAGTCTTCAACGGCAAGATAATGGTTGTTGTGGGAACAGAAGAACCCGAACCATAGATCCTTTGTATGTCGACAAGAGAAGGATGCTGATCAACCCACTCGGGAACAATGTAGCCAAGACTGCAGTGGCTGCAAGGTGCCTCGTTGAATCGAATTCGATAGCCGTTGCTGAAGATATAAGGCTGAGAAGTGATCAAAAACACACTCTTGAAACCAATCCCTGCAAACAGAACACAAATGTAAGAACTAGTGTCTTTGAAATTTGAGTTTGCCTTGAGGTCATATGTTAGAAGGCAAAGACATACCTTTCTCTCCGATATAACCGCGTTTTCGATTCCCTTTCTTGGTGGACCTTCCAACACTGGAAATGGACTCAATGTTCTTCTCAGAGAAACCCCTCTCATTGTTGAAGATAAGGAGAGTGGCCGGAGCTCCAGTGGCTGTGATGTCCTCAGATGTAATCACAAACTCAAGAGATGGATCAACACCTTCCGGGTACTCATTATCCTCAGCGTTCTGGAAACCAAAGGAAAATTCGATGATTTCTCGTTAAAAATGTTTCCTTTCTAATGTTA